CTGTGATGTCGAGGAAGTGCCACGCCTGCCACGCTTTGCGAGCCCGAAACGGATAGCGTCCCCACCCACAGCTCCCCCCCGGTGGTGTCGAGGAAGTGCCACGCCAGCCCGAAACGGATAGCGTCCCCACCCACAGATCCCTCCCTGTGGTGTCGAGGAAGTGCCACGCCTGCCACGCTTTGCGAGCCCGAAACGGATAGCGTCCCCACCCGCAGCTCCCCCGCTGTGGTGTCGAGGAATTGCCACGCCTGCCACGCTTTGCGAGCCCGAAACGGATAGCGTCCCCACCCACAGCTCCTCCCCTGTGGTGCCGAGGAAGTGCCACGCCTGCCATGCTTTGCGAGCCCGAAACGGATAGCGTCCCCACCCACAGCTCCCCCCCTGTGGTGTCGAGGAAGGCACGCGTGGCAGCTTTGCGAGCCACGAAAGGATCAGCTTCCCACTACACAGATCCCCTCTTGTGGTGTCGTGGAAGTGCACGTATGCCACGCTTTGCGAAGCCCGAAACGGATAGCGTCCCCCACCCAACAGCTCCCCCCTGTGGTGTCGAGGAAGTGCCACGCCAGCCCGAAACGGATAGCGTCCCCACCCACAGCTCCCCCCCTGTGGTGTCGAGGAAGTGCCATGCGGGCCACGCCTGTGCCACGCCTGTGCTGTGCTGTGCTGTGTTGTGTGCTGTGCTGTGCTGTGCTGTGTGCGGTGAGCTGTGCTGTGCTGTGCTGTGCTGAGCTGAGCTGAGCTGCGCTGTGCTGTGCTGAGCTGAGCCATGCTGTGCTGTGCTGTGTGCTGTGCTGTGCTGTGCTGTGCTGTGCTGCGGTGAGCTGTGCTGTGCTGCGCTGTGCTGTGCTGTGCTGAGCTGAGCTGAGCTGAGCTGTGCTGAGCTGTGCCGTGCTGAGCTGAGCTGAGCTGTGCTGAGTAGTGCTGTGAGGAGGAGGGGAGGTGTGAGGTGAGACGCGGGTGCGACGCGGCAGGGAAGAAAACCAGAACCCCACTAAGCATGTGGGGAAAAAAAGCACGCTTGCACTGCGGTGGAAAAGCTGGCCGGCTCGGCGACAAAGTCGCACTCGGTGGTGCCCACATTTATCGCCCACCCATTGCGCAACGCCCGAGCCCTCCCCGCGCGCAAGCATCTGGGACGTCTTCACGCCCATTGCCCAGGCGGCGGGCAATGCACGAGGCGAAGACAGCGGCCCCGCTCAGCCGCCAAGCCACTGAACGCCTGGCCCCTTTCCCACTTCTTCTCTCCCTCATCCCCCTTCCTCTCTCCCTCATCGCCCTCCTCGTCCTCCTCCTCCTCCTCCACCACATCCTCCATTCCTTTCCTTATAAATAACTCCTCCCTGTCGCAACCCGAGGCCAGTCGAAAGGGCGGGCCGGGCGATTCGCCTGAGACCTCCTCACCATGTATGGCCCTGGGGCTGAAAAACTGGCGCCAGTTTCGCAGATGGAGGGCGAGCGGTTTTCAAAATGTGGTTCTCGTGATTGTCGCCATAGTGCCGCGTTCATTTGCTTGAGCTTCACGGATTTAAGGGCGGGTAGTTTTCAAAATGTGGCTCTCGCCGCAGCGCCGCGCCCATTCGTTTTAAACATTTGCAAGGGGTTTCACGGATTGAGGACAGGTCGTTTTCAACGTGTGGCTCTCGCCTTAGCGTCGTGCACACTTGTATTAAACATTTGCGACAGTTTCGAGGATTGAAGACGGGTAGCTTTCAAAATGTGGCTCTCGCTTTAGCGCCGCGCAAGTTCGTTTTAAGCATGTTCAAGAGCTTCACGGATTGAGAGCGCTTCCTTTTCAAAATGTGGCTCTCGCCGAAGCGCCGCACACGCCCGTCCAAGAATTGCAAGAGTTTCACGGGTTCTCATGGTTAACATTCCCAAATTGGCGTTTTGGAGCGATTCAGGATTGTCAGGGCGCAACAGTGACGTTGATTCGCGCTGTTGACATCTCAGGAATGGTGTCCTGGCAAGATTCAGGATCGTCACGACGCAAGAGTCAGGTTGGCTCGTGGCTTTGAAATCCTTAAAATGGTATTCTGGCACGCGTCAGGATTTTCACACCGTTGTCCTCCAACGACGCACTTCCCTCAATGGAAATGAAACCTTGTAGGGGCCTATGAAGAGGGAGCTTGGAGGGAGAGTGTATTCCAACATCATTGATGAGTCTTGGGTTTGCACTGGTCCTCCTCTTCCTACTCCTCCTCCTCGCCCACTGCTTCCCCTCCTCGTCCTCCACAATTACAATATGAATACTACTCTCCCACTTCCCCTGATGGCGTCCGGAAGATGTTCGGCACCCCCCCGCGTACTGTTTTTGTACACACAGGATTCCCCGGAGTTGGGTTTCCGCTTGTGTTTTTTTCTAAAATGCTGCTCTCGCTGAGGCGCCGGCCTCATTTTCGGGCCCCGCTCGTTCCCAATCGTGCTCCCGCTGCAGCGCTGGCCTCATTTCCGTGCTTCCGCTCGTTCCGAATCGTGCTCCCGCTGCAGCGTTGGCCTCATTTCCGCGCTTCCGCCCGTTTCGACTCGTGCTCCCGCTGCCGCGCTGGCGTCATTTCCCGTGCCATGCCCTAACACACGCGCACACACGCACACACACACACACACCACCACCACCACCACCACCACCACCACCAGCACCACCACCACCACCACCACCACCACCACCACCACCACCACCACCACCACCACCACCACCCACCACCACCACCACCACCACCACC